CCCCCAGTCAAAGTCCCTTTTCTCTAAAATACAAGCAAAACATGGAATTTAGAAGGGAGGTTTGATATTTTAGTAACTGAAATTTGTTTTGTGAATCAGTATGTCCTGTCTTTTAATTTTAACTTTAATGCTAAACATTGTGTTGTAAATACTTTATTAGATTTTAAACATTTTCCAGTGGATTGCATTTCCCAAACTCTATAGATTTGAGTTGTTGGAAGGCTCTGCTATACAAGTTAGTGACCGCAGGGGGCGTAGGAAGCAGGGGAAATGGGTCTCCAACCCAGTGTTTTATAAGGGGGGATAATTCTCCCCCCCCCACCAAAAAAAAACCAATTGATTTCGAAACTAGAAGTATTTGAAATCATATATATATATATATATATATATATATATATATATATATATATATATATATATATATATATATATATATATATATATATATATATATATATGTATATATAATCAAATATCTGTAATCGATATTTTGATAACAACATTTCTCGTAATAATCCATCCTGACTCACGGATAGCATAGACTCACAGATCATAATGAAAGAATTAATGAAATGGCCTAACAAAAGAGGTAGAGAAGACTTTGAAAATGCTATTTCCGACGATTTAGAGACACAAAATTTTCAAAATTTCCTCCCTCTGTGCCAACCATGGTGGCGCTTCGTGGGAGTTGGGCCCTCTAAGTTTATCAAGCTGGCTCCCTGAGTGACCAAGTTGTGGTATCTATATAAACATACCATGTAAGTACTTCACTCACGGTTCCGTCAGTCTATCTACAGCGTAATGTAATGCTGTATATCCAAAAATCTATTTCAGAAAATGCAGGAATTGCAGTCATAGGGGTAGAAAAATACAAAAATTTTCTGGGGGGAAATACCCCCAGACCCCCCTACTATTAAATGCGATACCACACCAAACGTTAAAATGTTACCAACAAGCATCTATCATTTCTCCACACTTGGTATAGTATGGTCCCTTTTTGTAGATGCCCCCCCCCCCTTCACTGACGAATTCTTAAAAATGCCCTGCAAGAAACAGGACAGCATTTATGTTTCCATGATCTATATTATGAGCCCATTCATTGGTGGCCTCAAGAAGAGCAGTGACAGTTGAGTGTAAACCACGAAACCCTGACTGACAATTAGTTAGGAGTTTATTTTCAGATATATATATAAATGTAACTGGTCATAAATTATCTTTTCAAAAACCTTAGCCACAACAGGGATAATGGAAATCGGACGATAATTATCAACGCAATTACGTTTCCCTTGCTGGTGAATTGGGACAACTTTTGCGCAATTCCACTTATTGGAAATATGCCTGTGATAATAGAACGATTAAAGATGAGACTAAGGTGCTCGGCGATTAAATCAGGGCACTCTCGAAGTAATCTCAAGTGGAAATTTTGTCCAAGCCAGTTGCTTTTGACCTACTTAGTTTGGACAAATGTACAGAAACTGTTAAGGAATTTGTTTCTTTCCATTGAAACGTCGTATTAGTGTTTAGACCAGATAAATATTCCTCGTAGGACCGGTTGCCTTCATTGAAGTCTATGTTATCCGCAAGTTTGGGGCCGATGTTAGAGAAATATTCATTAAATGCATCAGCGATTTTATTAGAATCATTAATTAAGTGACCGTTCAAATTAATTTCGGTAATTTGAGCAGTTTTTCGATTCTTAGATGTAAATTCAGTTCGTTGATAATATTCCAAGTCTTCTTAGGGTTTCCTTTATTTTCACAGAATGCATTTTTGAAATAGGTTTCTTTAGCACGAAAGATTTTGTGATTAACTGAATTACGCATTTTCTTAAATGAAGACCAATCCTGAGGATCGTTGGAACGAATCGCTTTGATTTTTTGAATATCTCTTTTGTGCATTTCGTCCTTCAGGTGAGACGTAATCCAAGGCGATTTAGAAGCCTTGACACGTTTTGTACAAAGTGGGGCATGTTTATCGACAACACAATTGAATGCAGTTTTCCAAGCATGCCACATATCATTAGGATTTTCAGGTTCTTTAGTATGGCTCCAATTTTGTAGACTAATATCATTACGAAATTTGATGGAGTCAAAGTTTTTTAAACTTTCTATAGTTTACCGTTGAGTGACCCCTTGTCGGCAGACTAACAGAAAGCTTTCGAAAAGCATAAATGAGACTGTGATCGCTTATACTAACATGAGAGACACCAGAGCAAACTACTTTATCGGGAGTATTTGTAAAGATATGATCTATCAACGTAGAGGAGGAATCTGTGGTTCGAGTGGGCTCATTTATCAGCTGAGAAAGATTGTATAGTTCAGCAATACCAATGAGCAGCCTTGAACTATGATCTAGGACAGTAGAGCTGAGATCACAATTCAGGTCACCCATTAGATAGTACTCAATATTTTCAGCATCAAGTATACCTAGGAGAGATTCAAAGTGACTGAACTTTACCGCTGGTGAATTAGGTGGCCTATACCATGTCGCTATGAGAAAAGGCTTGGCTCTTGGTTTATTAATTAAGATGCACACAAGTTTTCTAATTGATCAAATGATAAATCATGTCGAACCGAAAAATTTATACAACTACGGATATAAAAACAAACACCTCCGCCAAATCTACCATTGGATTCTCTATCACGGCGAACAATTTCATAGCCATGTATATGCACTTCATCATAACTAACCGTAGAGTCAAGCCTTGTCTCATTTATAGCCAATACATCAATCATATTATTGGCTAGGAGGATTCTGAGCTCCTCATGAATTGCTCCCCGTGCTTAACTAAACTAGTTACATTGAGTGATGCTAGTTTAAAACCACTCATCTTAGGCAAGAGTAGGTTTCGTTCATTAGGCATATTAGTTTGTAAAGATTGCATATTATATACTGATTTAGCAACTCTAAATGAGGCGGCATTATGTCAATGGTCTAAGTTATTTGTGAACTCAATAACATTGTTTTGGAGTGATAAACTACCTAACTTGTTTAAATGCAAACCTCTTCTGTTCAAATGACTAGTATTGATGTTTGCATTTCTTAGGAAAGGAATCTTGTTTACTTGACAATAATTGTCTAAGATAAGGTTAACTTGCTTAACCTTGGTAGCGAATTTCGGACAGTCATTCCGGTCTAGCAACGCTGATACACCTACCATAGTGTTTGGAGAATCTTCTTTTATCTGAGTCGTCAGGTTTAAAATTGAATCCGCAATAACTTTCGGTGTAGAATTTTTTAAGTCATTTGTGCCGACATGAAGAATGACTTTATTCGGTGACTTACGAGTAATAGGTTTGATAAAGTCTTCCATATCCTCAACGGTTGCACCCGGGAACGCTTTCACAACGTAGTGATGACCAACATCATCTTTACTCATATATGCTCCGACCATATTCTTTACTAAAGACTCACCGGCAATCACAACAACATCTTTCTTTTTTTTCCTGGTTGAAGATTTACTTACGGTGACATTGACCTCTTGTGTTGCGTTAGCACCAGCTATATTCTTGTCAGGAGGCAAATAATTATTAGGTAATGAGCCCCCGCTGGGTGATAAGGCATCATTAGGCGATGAAGCGTCACCAGGCGATGAAGCGTCACGAGGTAATGAGGCGTCACGAGGCGATGAGGGTCCCCAGGGGATGAAGCATCACTAGCTGGAGGATTACGTTGCAATAACTTATTTTCTTTCCCTTTGTTTTTTCTGTCTCTTTTTCTTCTTTTTTTTCACACGCTTTAGAGGTGGGATCCAATACATTTGTTTTATCCAAATTTACTGATGGAATATTTGGGAGGTTTTCGCCTTTATTTTCGCTTAGGTTTAAGAGTTGTTTACTGAGCATTTCAACTGTCTTAATTAAAGAAGAATTATCTCTTTGTAAGTGAATGATTTGCATATTCATGCTTGAATTCGCTAACTCTTCCCCTTCGAGAAAAGCAATTTTCTTCTTAAGATTCAATATTTCAGCATTTAACCTATCAATATCCCGTCCATGCGTGTCACAACAGGCAGAACAAGGGTTGGCAATCACAGCTTTCTTCTTTAGATCAGCAATTTCGATACTTAGCTTATCAATATCCCGTCTATGCGTGTCACAACAGGCAGAACAAGGGTTGGCAGCCACAGCCTCGGGGACAAAAGATGTAATTTCTACTTCTGACAAACCCTGCTTAGTAGGTTCATGGTTACAAGACTCGCCTAGCCCGAGCACATTTTCGACATGATTATTGTTACTAATATTGCAGCAAGAGATGTTACTTACTTGCAACAATGAGGTGCATGGTCCTGGCGTTTCATCAGGACTATTATTATCCACTTCAGTGCTCGCTTCGGCCATAAAACATTCTAAGGACTTGTTAAGATCGCTATTTTTGGCTTTCTTCCGGTCGACTGATTCTACAAGAATACCATGTATTCGTATAGACAAATCTTTAGCTTTGGTCCCTTCAAAGAGTATTGCTTCGCTCTTCGTATACCACGTAACTTTAAGTTGATCGCTGTCGAAGCACCATTTTCCGCCACTGGGTGAACGCCATGTCGAACTTTCAGCAGTTTCTTCGTCGACTATTGTAAGAACAAATGCCTTGAGATCTTCTAGAGATCCTGACCATGTTAATTTATTTTTCTTCTTGCCAAAGAAACTATATAGAGCATTAATAATTGTTGATGAATTCATTTTGAACAGGAGCTGAACAACACACGTCTGATCTTCACGAGATAATGCTAAAACCCCAACGTTGCAACAAGTCTGATAATTTCGACAAGGTTGTTACAAGTTGTCAACAAGTTGTTCCAAACCTGTTGACAACTTGTGACAAGCAGTACGAATACATCTTGTTAACAGTTTGTGAACAGACTTGTAAAAAACTTGTGCGTTTTTACGTGTGTAGTTTTACTCAGTGAACTCCATGTCTTTTATCTGGAATGATAACATGCGGGAGAAACGTGAAGCCAATGCCAACGCCACTTGACGTGCGCTGATTCGTGATGGACCGCGCGGTATGGCGTATAAGGGGACTGAAACTGACGTACTATATGGCATGGCAATTAACCGCGCGCCGTGATGGCGTATAAGGGGACATACAAAGAACTTAAGAACTTAAAAACGTAAATACCCGACGCTGTCTCTACCTTACACTTGTGAGATCCCATCTTGCTTATGCCTCACAAGTGTGGTGTCCACAGACTCACCATGTGTATGGAGCTCGAACGCGGCATACAACAGACGTAAAGCGACCAATGCCATAAAGCCAGGCAGCTTACTGCAACAATGAAATGTTGTTCTTAATTGAACTAGTTATTTTGGCAATTATCCAGTGTAGTATACTTCATTTTATCCGATGTAGAGTTGGGTTTTTCGCCATTTTCGTCTTATTTTATCGACGGATACCGAATCTATATATATTCTCGCATTTATTCTGTTTGACAATTTTGTCATTTTGTTTTTCCAAATTTTGAAATTTTCAGTTACGCTCTCTCTCTCTACTTCGGATAAAAAGGAGTATACTATATTCTTGTTTGATATTTAAATTGTAAGTTGTGAAGTTTTGTATGATGATGTTTTGAAACAGGTCACTAACGTAATCAATGGCTCACGCTGTGTTAGTGTTCCTGAACCGTCTTCCTGTTTGCATATGTTTATATTTCTGTTGACGGCTGAAGTTAATAAATAAATAAATAGATTGAGTTCACTGGTTTTACTTTGTCTTTCTCGTGTCCCTGACTGGCTTTGTTTACCAACAACAATCCATAGTTTTTACCCATGAAGTGAAACTGTGATAACAGAGGCAGTTTTTCGTCACGTCCGCGTCGTAGATTTCGTGTATCTTAAACTAACTAGAAAATACATGCATGCAGAAACCCTCGCCTTACTGACAAAACATTATGTTTTCTGAATATGAAGAATTGAAAGTAGTTGTCATGGTAACACAATAATTTTAAGAATATAGTTTTAAAATTGAAAAATCCCCCCAAAATATCACTTTTAATAACAAAACTATCAATTTCCGGCCAAACATATATATGCCAGGTATGTTATTGTTTTGTTAGCCGCTTTCTTCGTTTTCAACCTCCATTTCAGAAACAAACAACGACGAATGTCAACGTACATTTAATAGTTTCGAAATCTAAACAATACAAAATTACACATACTTTTACAATAAAAAAGACCGATGCAAAATACAAAAATAATGCAGATAAACGGAAAGTCACATGCAATTAATTACCCGGTGGTCTCCTCGCAATTAAACGGCTACAAATTCTTAAATATCGCCTCTTAAATCACTTTCTAAAAGTCTATAACACTCGATCAAACATGGCGTCCAAATATCCTTATATTTTCCATCAACCAAAAGTCGCTTCCGTAAACTTCGTAATCTCGTTTGACATCGCTCAAAAGTCGTTCGCTAAACTATCGTACTAAACGAAACACTGCCACCTTCTAATAACGCTAACAAGTTCTCAGTATTAAACAATGTTCTATCAGAATCAGCGTAACGCAACATAATAAGACTATAAGAGTGTTTTTGCAAGTTTGTGTCCCTAAGTTTCTTATCTTTTCTTCATCACTTATCATCATGATAAGCAGGCAGAATTACCACTAATCGGTGAACGGCTCGTTCAACTGTGCCATAATCTTGACCACCATATTTATTGAGGGGTTCTTCACTCTTTCGATTCTTGTACTGAACTTCGACGTTCCTAACCTTTCTATCGTTTCCGGGCTGGAATTTTGAGACCCTACCAAGTCTCCAATCCATCCTATCACCTCTTATATCTCCACCATTCCTTACATCAGTTCTTGTGTCTGTCATGTTTATCCGCGTGCTTCTAACTCTCTCTTCATGCCCTGCAACCATTTCTGAATCACTTTCTTCCGACGACGTTTCAATGAGTCCATGAACTTTCCCATCATGCAACCAGAACTTTCTCTTCGTCTTAAAACTTCCTTACATTCATGGCAGTAATACAAATGCGTTTTGTTCTCATTGCCATTCTGATGTGTCTTATAATGATGTTTTAAACCATTTCTACTAACGTGTCCTTTATCACACACGGGGGAAATCAAAGCTGACTAGCTTGGCCCACTCCTTTCGCACATCGTTTGGCAATTTCTTCTCTATTATGCTCACAGAACTAGTAGTAGTGATCTCCTTTTCTAGACCGAGTCTTCGCAAATCTTGATAAGCATCTTCTACAATATTAACAAAGTTGATAAATCTCTTATGTTCTCCTTCTTTTATGACTTTTACCTCTTTAATGCTCTCAATAACTGCGTCCGCAATCTTCGCTGGATCCCCATACTTTTCATCTAAACGCTTTAACATCTCTTCTATATCGTCCTCTACACTTCTTACAATACTGAGAGGTTCTCTGACGAGACATGATCTCAAGGCATAAAGTGCAGACTCTTTAGGCAGTCCTGGTAATACTTGCTGCTCGAAGTCTTTCTTAAAGCGTGGATATTGTCTAATATCACCGTCAAATGTTGGCATTTTCAGTTTTTCCAATCTGAGGTTACACGATTCCTTACTTTTACTTGTCGATTCTAGCTTCTTTAGTTTCTCCTGTTCCTTCGCAATACCGACTGCAATTCTTGATGTTATGGCATTATATTCCTTTTGAATATTTTTCATCCAATTAAATTCTGCATCTCCTTTGTCCTTATCGAGCAGTTCAAGGTATTTATCATTAGCTTCCTTGCAGTCGGCCACTGCTGCATCTAATCCTTCTTGAGCCTTTTTTAGAGCAGCCGTAATACAATCCATTTCCAATACTGGTTTCACATCCTCTACTAACTGCTGAAAAACAATTTCACTAGTTTTCCTCTTTATTATCATCTGCTGAACCATCTTTTCCACTTTTTCCTGGTCTTTCTTAGTTGTCTCTTGAAGTCTTTCTTCATCCATAGCCTTTTTACCAGCTGCTGCTTTACTTTCGACATAGCTTACCTCCTTTTCCATTGCGTCACCAAAGCTCCTTTGCAGCTCTTCAATCCAAGTCTCTTCGTGCTCGCAGCCTTTATCTTCGATGAGTGCAACATACATATCGTGTTTGCTTTCCACATTTTTCCACGATTCTTTTAGCTCTACATAGCTAGGTTCTATCTACAATCTCAAGTCCCTTATCTTCAGCAACTGCTCTTAGAAATTCCTTTAACTTCCTAGTAAATTTGCTCTTAGACTTAGCACTTGTTCTTTGAATTTTGGCACTTTCTATTTCGTCGGACATCTTTGTTTTTACACGTTGTTCGGTTCACTACGTTTAATAAACACTAACTAATCAAAATTCTGGCATAATTTAGGCTTTCGTACCTTCAGAGACGGATTTCGAATGTTTTGTTAGCCGCTTTCTTCGTTGATTTCGTTTTCAACCGCCATTTCAGAAACAAACAACGACGAATGTCAACGTACATTTAATAATTTCGAAATCTAAACAATACAAAATTACACATACTTTTACCGATAAAAAAGACATGCAAAATACAAAAATAATGCAAATAAACGGAAAGTCACATGCAATTAATTACCCGGTGGTCTCCTCGCAATTAAACGGCTACAAATTCTTAAATATCGCCTCTTAAATCACTTTCTAAAAGTCTATAAAGCCTAGTTCTCATTCATCGCAAACCGTCGGCGATGGGAGCTTTGCGACGTCGGCGACCGCTTGCCATTTATGAGAACACATCAAAAATTATATCGCCGATTGTCCATAATCGTCGCCGACCATCGGCGATGACATCGCAGGAAACAAAAAAGTTTGTTTCTTGCGACCATCGCCGACTGCCACCTGCTTGAAAAATCTATGAGAAATGAGTAAAAGTTGTTTTTTCCTCACAAGCAAGGAAATAATCAATTGAAGTTTGACAGAAATAATGAACTTTACGTTGAATGGGGCCATTTTGTAGGAAATTTGGGAAATTTCGAAACACATCGGCTGTCATCTGCGACGATCACCGATGTATGAGAACTTTCGTGCATTCGCGCTCGGCGAGTATCGGCGATAAGCGTCGCCGATCGTCGGTGACAGTTTGCGATGAATGAGAACTAGGCTTAACACTCGATCAAACATGGCGTCCAAATATCCTCATATTTTCCATCAACCAAAAGTCGCTCCCGTAAACTTCGCAATCTCGTTTCACATCGCTCAAAAGTCGTTCGCTAAACTTTCGAAACAGTTATTATACGTAACATAAGCTTCAATTTAATGTAAAATCAACCACAAGCGCTTCCCAAAACGTTTTAAAATCTTCTTAAAACTAAACGGCCTTTTATCGAATTATCGCCTATCGGTAAACATTGAGTATGAAATAAACTGATTTCAAATTCTCGCATGAAAATAACTTTGGCTTCCTCTTTATTTAAATACTTTAATATACAAAAGAAAGGGTAATTAATAAAACTACACTGAAATTATATGCTTTGTTCATTTTATATAGTCTATATATACGCAATGATAGTATCAGTTCGATATTCGCAGTATCGCCCACCACTATCAGTTATAAATATATCAATTATAAAACAAACAATACATCGATATTTAAAACAAATTTACCTTCATTAACGTCGGCGACTTTGCTCTATTCTTTTGACGTTTTTAGACGGTTTTTGGCTCTCAGAAAGGGTTTGAAATTTACAAAACCTTGCAAAAATACAACTTGCAAGAAATGATTGTTATTTTGCTGTCGTCAATGCAGTCGTTACAATGCAATTTCAAATTTGACCAATCAGTGTTCACTATTCATGACAGTCCGCTACATATTTTGAGATCAGTGAGGATGACCACCCATGAACGGTGAGCCATGCGCCCACGATACTTGATGGACTTTAGACTTCGCTAGTGCGTTCCTTTCCCCGGGTGTAAATAGCCGGGGGGAATTAGTACCCTCGCACGGCGCTTCGCGACGCCGGCTCGGGGACGACGACGACGACGACGACAACGACGACGACGACGGCGGCGGCGACGGTGGCAAGGACGACGACGACGACGACGACAAGAATAATAATAATAATAATGGAAACTTTATTTAATTTTCTAAACTTACAACTGCAAATCTCACAAAATAAGGTAATTTACAATTGGCAACTTGATATATTACTATTAAATGATTTTATAACGCACGATTAAATTTACTCTATTACTCTATATACATACTTATACAATAAGAATTTTAAAGTTTCATATCATCAAGTCCGGATTCACCCAGTTCTTATTTCGACAACAAAAAATGTAGTAGGTTGACCTTATTGCATATTAATAATCTTTTTAATAACGTATCTTACACGAGCTTTATCTAAATTAAAATGTTCTAACATGTCTATAAAACCAGAAGATTCCTTGTCAAACACACCAAGTGCACTAATCGAAAGGTTGATGAAGTTTACCGCATGATAATTTTTCTTTTGTTCCATAATCATATCTTTATACTTGGAGTATTTCCTGTTAACATTATTTCTGAGGTTAGTGTCATATCCAACAGTTAATTCCAGAATATACAGATAATTGTCTTTCGTCAAAATTAGTAAATCATCACCAGTGATTGTAGAAGGATTAGAGAATGATGACAAATCAGCATAAGTGGTCCGAATATGTTCTGATGGAAGGTTATTAGCAATGAAATAATAATAATAATAATAATAATAATAATAATAATAATAATAATAATAATAATAATAATAATAATAATAATAATAATAATAATAATAATAATAACAATAATAATAATAATAATAATAATAATAATAATAATAATAATAATAATAATAATAATAATAATAATAATAATAATAATAATAATAATAATAATAATAATAATAATAATAATAATAATAATAATAATAATAATAATAATAATAATAATTCAGCTATTGGGTCAATTTCAAGAAATATTTATTATACACGATGTCGCGACAGCAGCGATCGAAATTAAAATGGACAGAGCAATGTAAGGAGAAAGCGATGGAATTCCTTAAATCGGAAAACCTGCCATGCCATGTGAACGGCAGAAAGAAAGGCTATATACAAGTTATGAAAGATCTGTGGGACAAGAAAGGATACGTACATCTTGGATTGAAGAGCCAAAATCTGCGAGATCAATTAAGCCGCTAGGCTTGAGAAAATTAACGCTACAGCTGAGACTCGTGCTATCGGTAAGGTAAGCGGCGGAGCGGTTATCGATGACGAAAGAGAGCAGACATTAGATGAAATAAAACCAGAGAAGGCACAACACGATTTCACAACATGAATTTAACAATTTTGAAAATCAAAACACCATTAGTCAAAATGCAAATTTGGAGGTAAACAGC